CCTGCTTCTCCCTCTCCCATTCCCCCTACTTGTATTCCCTCTCGCTGTGTCTCTGTCAAATAAATAAATAAAATATTTAAAAATAAAATATCTTGTAAAAAAGAAAATAAAAATGGTTTTGATGTGTTGTAGGATATATGTATCTTACAGTTAAGCTTAGGTTTTTAAAATGAAGAAAAACTGAAAAAAATCCAACAACTGCTATGAGTGATTCTTTCATTTTCCAATTTGTCAGTACTATGAGGTTGCTTTCATAATAAGAAGACTATGTAAGAGAGGCAATGAACCTCATGGAGCAAAAAGTTTCTTCATAGACAAAACACAAACTTAGGTTCCTTAATGCTTGGTTCCATTAAGACAACCAAAGGAGGAGACCGTCAGTCTTGGTTCTTTTAACTCCTTAAGCACCAGCCTTTTAGCTGTTGTGTTCCTGTCAGCTGTCATAATTTAGTCGACCATGTCGACTGGATAGAACTATAACACTCAAATTTATCTTTTCTAAAGCAGTGTTTTTCTTTGTTTTAATGTTACAGATTTATTTGAGGTTCCTAGATTATCAAATGGAGCACTCAAATGAATGCAAGAGAAACTTTGTTGCAGTTTATGATGGAAGCAGTTCTATTGAAAATCTGAAGGCCAAGTTTTGCAGCACTGTGGCCAATGATGTGATGCTGAAAACAGGAGTTGGAGTGATCCGAATGTGGGCAGATGAAGGTAGTCGGCTAAGCAGATTCAGAATGCTCTTTACTTCCTTTGTGGAGCGTAAGTAAATCCTATAGCATTGAGATCTTTTACATAATTTTCATTCATTCAGAATTCAATTATTGAGCATTTCCTTTTGACAAAGACTGCAAGTCAAAGAGAATGCAGAAATAACTAAGTCTTAGTCCCTATTCTCAAGGAATTAACTGTCCTGGCTGAAAAACCATGTTAATACATAAATTGCAACACTGCCTTATTATAAAAGTGTAACGTGATAGGGAACACAGAAAGTGGAGACTCAAGATTTTCAAAATTAAAAATAATTATCAGTAGTATTAATTCAGCTTGGTATATAATTATGAATCTACCAAACCATGCTCATCAAAATTTAGATAGGCTGTGTTTTCTTTTTTCTAACTTCTAATTTTTAAATAATTTTAAGCTTATCTAAAGTTATAAAAATAGCACAGAGTTTTCATTTGTCCTTCACTCAGATTCCCCTAATAATGTGGTAAAACTGAAAATTAACACTGATACACTATTATCAACCATTATATATAGACCTTATCCACATGTCACTAGTTTTCCTATTAATGTCCTTTTCTGATGCTGGATCCCACGTTGCGCTTACTTGACATCTGTCCTTTAGTCTCCTCAATCTGTGACAGTTCCTTAGTCTTTAATGACCTTAATATATGTGAAGAGCAATGGCCATTTATTTAGTAGAATGTCAATTTGAGTTTGTCTGATGTTTTCTCATGGATTCTTTTGAGGTTATGTATTTCTGTCAGTGTCACAGAAATGACGCTACACGTTTCTCAGTGCATCATACCAGTGAGGTAGGCGTACATCATGTGGATCTGTCTCATGTTAACTTTGCTCACTTCCTTAAGGTGCTCTCTGTCAGGTTTCTCCACTATAAAGTTACTGATGTTTTCATTTCTAGTTAATAATTCTCCTTGAGACTATGCAAATATCCCTTTGCTCACTAATTTTAGCGTCTGTTAATGGTTTCTGCCTGTAATAGGTATTATTATAGGGCGCCTGGGTGGCTCAGTTGGTTAAGCGACTGCCTTCGGCTCAGGTCATGATCCTGGAGTCCCTGGATCGAGTCCCGCATCGGGCTCCCTGCTCAGCGGGGAGTCTGCTTCTCCCTCTGACCCTCCCCTGTCTCATGCTCTCTCTCTAGCTCATTCTCTCTCTCAAATAAATAAATAAAATCTTTAAAAAAATAAAAAAAAATAGGTATTATTATAGTGTTTACCTAATGGTAGTTTTCTGTTTCCATTATTCCTTCTACACTTATTAGTTGTAATTCTGTGAAGAAGAGTTATTTTTCCCCTCATTTATCTATTCAGTGATTTATTTCAGTATGAGTTTATGGATTTTTATTTTATGCCATTATTATATATAGTTACATATAACATAATTATTATAATACTAACATTATTTTGTTACTCAGAGCCCCAGCTTTGGCCACTGGGAGCCTTTTCAAGTTGTCTCTTTTAACTTTTGATGTGTCCTTCCCTTTTTTTTTTTTAATCACTTTATTTTCTGTCACCACAAGATGGCCCAGGTTCAGCTGTGTTTTCCCTGGCCCAGCCGTAAAACCAACCATATTTCCAAGAAGCCCTTTTCTTCTCGTACAAAAGACACTGCTAAAAGCACTTCTGGGGTTCTTATAGGAATCGTAATGAATCCATGGATTGCTTTAGAGTAGTAGTGTCATCTTAATCAGTCTTAAGTCTTCCAGCCCACGGACCCAGGGTGTCTTCCCACTTATTTGTTGTCTTTCATTTTTTTCAAGAGTGTTTTGTACTCTTTAGTATACAACTCTACAAGTACACATTGTTAGTGTGTAGAAATGTACCTGATGTTGTATTCTGTGTTTGTATCCTGCAGCTTGCTGAATTAGTTTATTAGCTGTATGTGTGTGCAATCTTGTTAGGGTTTTCTACATATAAGATCATGTTGTTTGTAAACAGGTAATTTTCCAATATTGGGTGCTATTTTATTTTTTTATTTCCTTTTCTCACCTAATTGCTCTTGCTAGAACTTCTAGTACTATATTGAATAGAAGCTATAGGAGACACCCTTGTCTTGTTTCTGATCTTAGGAGCAAAGCTTTCAGCCTTCCACCGTTGAGTAGGTGTTAGCTGAGTAGGGTTTTCATATATGGGCTTTATCATGTTGAGGAAATTTTCTTCTGGTCCTAGTTTACATATTGAGTGTTTTCATCATTAAAGGATGTTGAATTTTGTCAAATGCTTTTTCTGATTCAATTGAGATGATTATGTCATTTTTTTCCTCTTCATTCTGTTAATGTGTTGTATTACAGTCATTGATTTTTTTTAAAGATTTTATTTATTTGACAGAGACATAGCAAGAGAGGGAACACAAGCAGGGGGAGAGGGAGAGGGAAAATCAGGCTTCCTGCCGTGCAGGGAGCCCGATGCAGGGCTCCATCCCAGGACCCCAAGATCATGACCTGAGCCGAAGGCAGACGCTTAACGACTGAGCCACCCAGGCACCCCTCATTCATTTTTATATGTAGAACCATTTTTATGGTCCAGGAATAAGTCCCACTTGGTCATGGTGTATAATCCTTTTAATATGTTGCTGAATTCAATGCTAGTATTTTGTTGAGGATTTTTGCATCAATATGTATAAGGGGTATTTGTCTTTAGTTTTATTTTCTTGTAGCATCTTTGTCTGACTTTGATATCAGGGTTATGCTGGTCCATAGAATGAAAAAGAAGTGGGGCACCTGGGTGGCTCAGTCGTTGAGCATCTGCCTTCAGCTCAGGTCATGGTCCCAGGGTCCTGGGATCAAGCCCCGCATCAGGCTCCGCGGGAAGCCTGCTTCTCCCTCTCCCACTCCCCCTGCTAGTGTTCCCTCTCTCGCTGTGTCTCTCTCTGTCAAATAAATAAAATCTTTAAAAAGAAAAAAGAAAAAGAAGTGACCCTTTCTCTCCAACTTTTTGGAAGAGTTTGAGAATTGATGTTCTGTAAACAGTTGGTAGAATTCCCCAGTGAAGCCATCCAGTCCAGGGCTTTTGTTTTTTGGAAGATAGTTTGATTTTACTGATTCAGTATCCTTGCTAGTTAGAGATCTATTCGAATTTTCTATTTAGTTTTATTCAGTTTTGGCAGAATATGTGTTTCTAGGAATTTGTCTATTTCATCTAGATTAGCAGTTTGTTGGTGTAGAATTGTTTTTCGGATTCTCTTTTAATCCCTTTTAGCTGTAACATCTAAACTGTCTCCACTTGAATTTCTGATTTTAGTAATTTGAATCTTCTCATGTTTCTCTTTTTTCCTTGGTCATTGTAACTAAAAGTTTGCCAATTTTATGGAGCTCTTCAAAGAACAATTTTTTTTCTTTTCTTTAATTTTTCCATCCTGTATTTATCTCTCTTCTCTATAATTTCAGTGTTTTTGACAAAGGCATAGAATTCCAAGTTTAGTTTGTCCTTTTTTTCTCATTCTTTAAGGTTAAGTTACTGATTTGAGATCTTTCTCCTTTTTTTAATATAGGCATTTTTAGCTATAAATTTCCTTCTTTGCACTGCTTTCACTGCTTCTCATCAAGTTTCGCTGTGTTGTTTTCATTTTCATCTATCTCAAGATATTCTCTAATTTCCCTTGTGATTTCTTCTTTGACCAGTTGGTGGGTTAAGAGTGTGTAGTTTAATTTCCACATATTTATGAATTTTCCAGTTTTCATTCTGTTATTGATTTCTAGTTTTATTTCAGTGTGACTGGAAAAGATATTTTGTGTGATGTCAGTCTTTTAAGATTTTTGTGTGTATGTGGTGTAATATATGGTCCATCCTGGAAAAAGTTCCATATACGCTTGAGAAAATTGTGTATTTTGCTGTTGTTGGGTAGAACTTTCTGTATATCTATTAGATCCAGCTGGTTTATAGTGTTATTCTTTTATTTGCTTATTAATCATCTGTATAGTTGTTTTACCCATTATTGAAAGCAGGATAGTGAAGTCTCTAGCCATTGTACAACATCCAATTCTGCCTTGAATTCTGAAAATGTTTGCTTCTTATATTTTAGGACTCTGATTTTTGGTTTATATTTTTTTATAATTGTATCTTTTTGATGAATCCCTTTTACCAATATACAGTGTTCCTCTTTGTCACTTGCAACAGTTTTGATTTAAAGTCTATTTTTGTTGATATTTGTATGGCCACCCCAGCTGTCTTTTGGTAACTATTTGCATGGAATATCTTTCTGATTTTTTCACTTTCAACCAATTTATATTGTTAGATCTAAAGTGAGTCTTTTTTTTTTTTTTAAGATTTTATTTATTTATTTAACTGACAGAGAGACAGCTAGAGAAAGAACACAAGCAGGGGGAGTGGGAGAGGGAGAAACAGGTTTCCCGCCAAGCAGGGAGCCCGATGCAGGGCTCGATCCCAGGACCCTGAGATCATGACCTGAGCTGAAGGCAGCCGCTTAACCAACTGAGCCACCCAGGTGCCCCTAAAGTGAATCTTTTTAGAACAGTATATAGTTGGATCTTTGGGATTTTTTTTTTTAATTATTATTATCTATTCTGCCAATCTCTGCTTTTTGAATGGAGGGTTTAACTCATTTACATTTATAGTAATTACTAAGAAGAAAGGACTTCTGCCTTTTTATTGTTTGTTTTCTAAATGTCTTAAAACTTTCTGTCCCTCATTTTCTTCATTACAACCTTCTTTTGTGGTTAGTTGATTTTTTGTGGCAACACATTTGAATTTCCTTTTGTGTATATTCTTTAGATATTCTTTGTGGTTATAGTGGGGTTTTGTCTTTTTATGAGTTGGTTACATCTTTAAAAGTCATCTTTACTATTTTGTGAGCACGTGAGAACCTTTTCATATTAAAGAATGGGGTAGTTCAGGGCGCCTGGGTGGCTCAGATGGTTAAGCGTCTGCCTTCGGCTCAGGTCATGATCTCAGGGTCCTGGGATCGAGTCCCGCATTGGGCTTCCTGCTCCTTGGAGCCTGCTTCTCCCTCTGCCTCTCTCTCTCTCTCTGTCTCTCATGAATAAATAAAAAAAA